AACTAACTTAGGGTATATCACTCCTAGCTATGCCCTATCTAACCATCATATCCCCGACTGAAAAGCTTTTTGACACCTCGGGTGGTTCCCTCGTGAGAGTAAGGAAAAGAGTTTCGGATAAGTCAGCAGTGTATGACTTTCGGAGCAAGACTATTCGAATTGCTCAGCTATGTACCAGAGCCAGAGTTGAAACATTTAAGTCATAAAGTAGTATGTCACGATGAGACTGAAGTGAAAAGTTTCAGATCGTATAGAAATCATTTAGATGTGCAGTGATAGGTTTGGAAGTTCACGAAGTAAGATTCTCAGGCCAACCTGTACAGCCCTGTGGCAAAATATGGGTGAAACTATTCATGCATATAATCATGTTCAAGTGCAAGAGTCATAAGGCTCCAGACCATTCAGCAAAACGTCATCGAAAGGAAACCAAGAATAATCGAAAAATGATAAGAAAGCGTCAGAATGTTCGAAAATAAAATCATGAAAAGTTCATATTCTAACTGGATTCGCAACATTATTAGAAGAACAGGATGTGGGGTGTGGATATGGATGTCGCTGTGAGTACAAGTAGAAAGAAAAGGAAAACTCATGTCCATACTGACACCCGTAGCTACACCCTGAATACCAGAATCATCTTAAAGTGTGAGATTGCAAGTGCGAATGAGAGTAGCCATTAAGAAAAGACCCACCCCATCGTATTCATCCCGCAACGACACCCATATCTTCAGCATATACCTAAAAGTAGGATAAACTTTTTAGATAGAATAATTTCCAAGCATGGCTGAAGCAGAAAATCAACAGAAGCCTGTATCAAGACGTAAAATAGCGCTTGTAATTGGCATTAGTGACTATAAATATACCACAAAATTAAAGAATGCAGTGAATGATGCTAATGCCATGGCATCTATACTTCAAAGCATTGGTTTCATTGTTACAAAGGACATAAACTCAACACATGACCAAATGAAGGCTACTCTTTTCAATTTTACACAATCGATAAAGGAGGATGACATGATTTTATTCTTTTTTTCGGGGCATGGAGTACAATGGGAAGTAAGTACTAAGGATGTATGAATATGAATTGAGTTTTTTTTAATGTTCGGAGAGTCTTCGTGGCGATCTAAAAGAGAAGGAAGCTCCTTGAAGACAGCACCAAACTCTACCATAAAAAATTGTCTTTTTTCCCGGTACAATGAAGAATTTTTGGTGTGCTCATCTAGAAGAAAATCTTTTACTATTTAAAACAAATTGAGATACTTTGTGATGTTGAATACAACAGGCTAACTTCGAAATTTTTATTGGACAATGTTTCTAGGATCAAAATTTTCTGATACCAAAAGAAACTACCAATAGCGATGATGATGCTAATATTCAACAAGCCGTGTTCTCTCTGAAGGAGATGGCAACTGAAATGAAAGATCATACAGATATAAGTCTCAAAAAGTTAAAACGATATATGATTCATGTACAAAGACTCGTGGATGATTTCAGTGACCAATTACCATTTGTAACAATATGTCTATTGGATTGTTATCGAGTCTACTGTCTTCGTAATCCTAACTTAGCGAAATTCACTGCAAAAAATCCCCGTTCAGAAATCTGTGAAGTTCGCGATCAGAAAAAGATTGTTAACGCTGGATCGTTGATTGGATTTGCCTGTGCACCTGGAACTCAAGCAGATGACAATGAAAAACAAGCAAATGGCTTATATACGAAGCATCTTCTGGAACATATTGTTAAGCCTAATCGAGATATTATAAAGGTATTGCATGCTGTTACCCGAGCAGTGAAAGCAGAATCAAATTCAAGACAGGTACCATATTATACTGGTTCGTTGGAAACAGAAGATGATATTTGTTTGTATGGAAAAACCTCAGGTACGTAGTTAAACGAGGAATGAAATCAATAAGATACTAAGATTAGGCTGGCCTCATCTAAAAACCATATAAACCAAATAGGTCACACTGATATTTTAATTGAAAATCAGGTTAGAGCAGTAAATTTCGATATTGCTTCTCTCATGTATATATTATTTAATGCGAATGTGTGCGATAGTGTTAATTCTAAATTTTAATATTGGCACAACTTGTGTACAACTCGTTGTTATTTCCACTTTCTTTCTTAACGTTTTTTCATCCTTTCTTCATCAACAATGGGCAGCGTCACTTCTCATTTTCTCTTGTCAATCAATGCAGTATACTTCGCTCCAAGCTTCTCAATTGTATTCTTCTATTCAAGTTTGTTTGAACAAGTTCTTTTCATTCTTCAGCATGGTTTATAGAGATGATTGGATGCGCGTAAAGTGCATCAGAATCTCCTCTTCACTCACAACCCACTGAAAGTTTCAGCGAGTACTTTTCCCTGTCAGATCTAGTGTTGGTTATACCATTGCATACATATAATTGATTTGGTCTAAGTGAGAGTGACTCCCACAAAACTGTGATGATTTACTTCAAGATTCTGTTTTTTCTTCGTAAAAAATATCCCAGCACAAAACTAAGGCAATGCCTACAATGTGAAAGTGAGATTCGGTCAGACCATGTGCAAATGACTATATTTAATAATAAAAAATTTTCTTTGAAAAGAGCCTTATATTCTTTAAGATGGTTTCCAATGTGATCTATATAATCAGTTGTGTGCTATTTCAACTGATTTCCCAGTGTTACTGTGCTACAGTTCTTTGAGTCCGTCGAGTTCTTTCAACTCTTAGAATCTGTTGACCGCCTGCGATTACTTCAAGTTTATAATTTTCTCGGATTCTCTAAATCTGTTACTTCCTTGAGTTACTTGGATACCTAGCATCAGTGGCAAATTTTCAGAAGAAGCTCTAAACGCGACCGATCCCCTTCCAAGCGAATTTTCTTTAGCAGAAAGTGCTAAAGAATGAGCTGGCACCGCCTCTAATGAGCTTCAAAACACATTTTATAAACGTGAGCGCCTCTCATCATAAAAATCCTAGATCTGCCGCTGCATAGCATTTTTGTCGTTTTCTGCAACCTTCGAGGTCTTGGAACTTCTTCAATTCTTTCATTTTCCTGGATTATATGGAAACCTTGAATTCTTTGTATTCTGTAGATTCCTAAGATTACATTGGTTCTTTCCATTGCTTGAACTAGTTGAATTCTTTTTAATTCTTGAATTTTTTCCATTCCTTCAATTTCTTCGATATCTTTAGCTTCTTCGATAACTTTGCATGCTTGGATTTTTTGAATTGCTTGAGACCCTTGTAGACTTTACATTGGATCGATAAAATCCTAAAAGTATTCTGTTATCCGTATTCAAAAAGTGCAAATGTATGATGAAACTTTTGGCATATATTTTTGTGCCAATATTTGAATTTATTTTCTTTCAATTCCTTATTGAAAATAAAGTAATATTCAAAGAATCTAAAATCAATGCATGCATTCATGATTGTCACCTACCATAGAAATTTCGACTTTATAAAGTGGATATTATCTGACGAAGTAATATGATTAAGCTAGGTACCGAACACGCACGATACATAAACTCCATTCAGACTGCTTTCTAAGCGATTATAAGATTAAATAAATAATATGCTCCTTGCCATGTGTCGCTCATATTCCTTCTCTTTCTGAAGATAGTATTATTTTCGGAAAAACTTTTGATGAACAAGCCACGGCGGCTATACACGGGTGTCAAAACTCGGCTATTACAGTACCTGCTACATTGTTTGATACAGCCGAAAATCAACTGATCGAAACAGGAAATAGTCCATTTGAACAAAACAGAAAAGCGGGTGACATGCAGGATTCGCCAGATGCTTCGAAAACGTTGACTGGGGTTCAGAATATCAGCACTAATCAATTGGGAGCAGGGAACGACCCAAATGGCATGCAGACTTTGGTAAATGTTCCGACAGCGTTAGCTACGGTTCAGGATATGGACGTTGGTCGAAGGAAAAAAAACAAAAAAGCGACTGGTATGCAGGATTCGCTGGAGGTTTCGAAAACCTCAACTGGGGTTCAGAATACCGGCACTAATCAATTGGAAGCAGGCAAAGACCCAAATGGCATGCAGACTTTGGTAAATGTTCCGACAGCGTTAGCTACGGTTCAGGATATGGACGTTGATCGAAGGAAAGAAAACAAAAAAGCAACTGACATGCAGGATTCGCTGGAGGTTTCGAAAACCCCAACTGGGGTTCAGAATGCCAGCACAAAACAATTGGAAGAAGGCAAAGAACCGAATAAGACACAAATTCCGTTAGATATCCAGAATGCATCAACTGTAATGAAAAATGGCGAGCCGACCACCGGTAATTACTTGTTTCTTCTCTTTATCAAAATCGATCGCTTTTTCTGATAATGGATAGTTGCAGCTATTCTGACGAAGTCTTGACTCTTTATTTTAGTGATAAATAAATCATCCTTAATGGATTCCAGATGTCAATTTCGAGCAGGTAAATTTAAAAGGTCTTATTTTGCAGAAACTTTTCAATTGGGTGTTCAGAATGTCAATTCACTCTAAAGAAATATCTATTTTTAGAGCAATCTTGGGTTGATCTCAAGTTTCATCCAGGTCAGATATCGATCAAGAAGCCTGATGAGCTTGCGAAGGAAATGATAGAGCCTCCAATTGATATCGACGCTAAAATACTGAATCGCATCAAGGGATCAATGTTT